CATAAATTCCGGCCCGAATGTCAAGTGGTAAATCAAAATTTTCTTTTCCTCGCCTCTGCAGCGGCGTGTTCTTTTCTTTTGGCAGAAAAACGCTTGATCGGTCTCTTTCCGCTGAGGCGTGCCATGGATCAGCAAGATCTTGCCACACAGAAAACTGCAAGACAATCGAAAAGATTAGAAGTTTTAATAGAAACTAAAAACATCATTTAATCTGCTTCATTTAATAACTTTTTAATTTAAATCTCAAGAAATTAAAAAAAATTACTGTCAATAAATAAAAGTTATTAATAAAATTCGTTTAATTAATGAAGGGTTTATGGTTTCAGAGAAAAGTATTTACTGAATTCTAAGTAAGTCTTGCGCTGCCTTCTGAATTTATTTAGTCAATTTGATTGAGGTTTTATGAAGTTAATTTGGTGAAATATTTAATTGTTTTAGTCCAGGCAATTGAAGGAAAAACATTATTCTATAAAATTTCCGTACAAAAATATGGAAGTTTTCAAAAATTCAGTTCTCTTAATGAATTAAATTTTTCTTAACATGTCTCCCTGGAATTGACTTTTATGAACCAATTCTGATGGAGAGAATAATTATCATCTAAATTAATCTGCACGTTTCTTATAAGAAGAAGTCTTTCTAGATAATAAGAAAAATAAATCATGATTTGATAAACATGTTTTGAAAATAATAAATTTATTTGGTCCCAGAAGTGAGCAGTCATATTTTTTCCTTCTTAAAATGTGTCCTTTTGGCTAACAATTTTGCTTGGAAATTGAAACATTATTGGGAATTTTGGTAATCATTCAGTTTTTTGTTTCTTCAATTTTTTAGCTTGTTTAGGGAGAGAAAATGGATTGAATTGACGTTTGACTTTTTTATGTTGCAATTAATCAGGAATTAATGGGAATCAAAACAAATTTGCGAACAGTATTTCTTGCTAATTAGAACTGTTTTTATAATTGCAAAAAAAAATTCCAGGTAAAAACAAGAAGCAATTTTTATAATTATTCATTTTCTTGGATAAGAAAATCAATATCGAATCAAGTCTGCTCCGTCTGTCCTGTTATTCCAGAATTTCCCAATCTGTCTCGATCCCCCACGCGTCATTTGAAAAAAGCAGTCGGGAATAATTCAAAGCCCCTCTCTCGGTTATTATTTATAAATTATTGCAGCTTCAAAGTCTTGCCGCGTCGCTCTCTTTCTCTTTTAATGCAATTATTACACTGAGTCACAGCGAGTGCACTTACTTTTTATGTATAATCAATACGCGCCGAGCGAGCGAGCGAGTGAGCTGCGGAGCGAGTGATGTATTTTTTCACCCCTGACGCCGATGCCGCCTCCCTTCGACACGGCTTCCGAGTTGTGCCAAAAAGAAGTTAAAAAAGAGTCGACGAGAGGGTGAAAAGAAAGCTTGGAACGCCTTGATTCGGACTGGGTAGGTGAACATCCAGACGCAACGGACGCGCTGGTGGCCTAATTGTCAATTTTGCAGGCGCTCTCAACACAATAATGCATGAAATTCTCCCAAATCTGGAAAAAATTGACTGTAAAATCAGATGGATGATGATTATTTAATTTTTTTACTTCCAAATTTATTTAATTTTTATTTTCCATTTAGATGTATTAAAATTTATCAATTTAATCTTGGTACAGTTGCAAAATTGACTAATTAGCTGCAGTTTTAAGTTTTTAATTTAATATTTTTAAATCTAATCAAGTCCATGTCATTATTTCCTCACTAAAATGGAAATATTTCTTTCACCGGATGTTAAAAATGAGAAATGGAATAATTCGAATAATTTTATCCTCGCTTTCATATCTCACCGATTTGTTTTCTCAGCCGGAGCCGGAGCATATTTTTGAGTCGGCGGTCGCGCTTGGGGTGGTCGCCGCTCGCGTAAATCACCTGCTGCTGATGGCGTTTTGCAAACCAAGAGTTCAGGTGGAAAATAAATGCGTTCAGCAAAAACGGCTCCGGCAATAATCTGCTGACCGCAACACCTCAAGCTATTTATGAGCCAAGATTGTTGCTGACTCCGATCTAATAAAACGGCCCTAGGTGTGCCATGCACACCCCCACGACGCTCGACAAACACAGAAGCAATTTTAACTGTGCATGGCAAGAGTGGAAAGAGGGCGAGCCAGCGAGCGATTGGCTTGCGATTTGCGTCCGGACGTTTCACAGAATGGCTTTTGTAATTCAAGAGCAGAGCAGCTCGCCCCATTAAGCGGCTGATTAGATTGACATCGACGAGACGCCAAATAGCAAAACATTTAAATTTGAATCAAAATATATATAAAATAATTCAAAAATAAAATTAATTTTTTTGTAGAAGAGCTTTTATGGTGAAAATAAATAATTTAAGTGAAATGTAAATTTTGAAATTTAGATACCTTATAAATTTTATTAATCCAACTTGATAAGTTTTTTATAAATTTGATGTGATGAAATTTTATCCATTTCAATCGGGCATTTTTTAAGCTTTTTATTATTGAGAAAATTTTCCTTTCAAAAATGAATTTCTTCTTGTAAATTATAATTTTTTTTATATGTTCTTGAAATTTACATTTACAAACCAATGATCATGTTAAGAAAATTTATCATCAAAATTATTAGTTCCGAAGCCCCTTATTTAGTAAATATTTACAACAATTTAAATTGAAAGTAAAAGTTTTTGCAAATAAATAAAGCTTGGATTATTTGGATTATTCAGCATTATGCGGAGTAAATGGAGGTTGAAAAGAAAATATTTGTGCCGTCTCTGGCGGGCGCAAATAGAGCGGTCTCTAATTTGGCTTGTGCGCCGAGGAAATGAGCTTCATCAATTCAAGAGCCGCGAGGTTTCCGGCTTGCATTTTCACGCGCGGCGTGTTCGCTTTCGAGAAATGCCAGTCGCCGCGGATAGATGCCAGCACGCAGAGTACGCCGAATGTACGTCCAAATCTGACGTTGGGGAATTTCGAATGCGACACGCGGATACTGACAAATGTGGAAATATACAACCGGATATACCAAACATTGGTAAAAAGATTAGATTGGAGGCCAAAATTGATTATGTAGTTCCTTTCATTAGTCGGAAAAAAAATTTATTTCTTTAAATTTTCTATTTAAATAATAATAATAATAATAATTCACACTCATTTTGTCCCGCAGAATCAACATCTATAAAACAAATATTTTGAAGGAAACAAAAAGCTTTTAATTTCTAAGAAGCAAATCTTTTAAAATAAATATCTAATTTCTTATAATTTTTTTATAGTTTTATTAAATTTAATACTTTAAAATGTAAATGTACAATTTGTAGTTGAATAGTTTGAAAAGGAATTCAAAGACTTCACTTTGTGTTGGAAAAGAAGTGACAATCGCGGCGTTAAAACTGCGTGAAAGTGCGTTATGATTTGAAATCGAATAACCCGGCTGTGAAATTAACGTTTAAGCGGCGCGGATTCGAAGAAAAGGGGTGCTTATATTCGGATAGACAGGCGGGCTAAGTGCATTGCCACAACAAACCGACTGGAGAGAGCGGGAAGAGAGGGTTGCAGCCTCAAGTCAAATGCCAGTATGAAATAATCCCTCGCCGCGCTTAAACCCCGCAACACTTTAATCTCACACATGATTCCTCCTCCTCCTCTCTCGCGAGAGCAGACAAACGGAATATTTAAAGAGCGGGATCTTTGTTTGGCACACACACCAGACAGGCCAAAGAATCGGAAATATAAATTACGGTGTGCTTCACTTTTTATTTGCAGCAAACATAAGCTCGCAAATTTCATCCCTCAAACAAAGCCCCCTTCCACTTGTGAATATTAACAAGGGGTTGTCAAGAGAAAGGAAACATTTTCTTCTTTCGGCGGCTTCGATATGTTTCCAGACCAGGCTATTTGCAAGTAAAATCAAAATAAAGTTAACCACTGAAATATTTGAATGCAATAAAACTTTAATGTAAAAAGGACGTCCGAGGATTTGTTTTAAATTTTATAGACAATCTGTAATTTTTTTTATCAAATAGGGAAAATTAATGTAATTAGTAAAATGAATGACGAAAAATTTTAATTAGTGGTCATGAAACAAGATTATAATTTAATATTCCCACAAGGCGAGTTTTTTATATAATATTTTAATTATACTGATTTGTTTGAAAATCCTTAAAAAATTAATTAAGAACGGATCTTGATGTTGTCATGCCGATTCAAAGTTAGTGATAAAATGACTTTATCACATGAAACCATCATCAATTTGCAGAAAAATATTAACATTTATTTACATTTAATATAAATTTGGTATAACCTGAAATTGCCTAAAATCAAAACGCGAGACTTTAGAGTGATTTTTGTACAAACGTCGAGTATTTCATATAATTCAGGGCTGTGAAATAAAAACGTTGTCTGTTCTTAAAATAAGGTCTTGAATTTATAAATCGCCGTTTAAATGACGACAGCCTGCGTATCTGTGAAGCACTTTTTTTTTGTTATTCAATGGTACGTAATTAATTCCATCGAACGGTCGATTTGTTGTAGCGCGATTATTTATGGCCGAGGCAAGTTTTGCGCAGTGATTTGCGTGATTTTTGACCCGCAACTCGGCTGCTGATGAACTGCTGTCAGACACGAACGCTTCTTGAGAATGCTTTATCGCCACTGACCGGCTATGCGAGTGTGGAATACTCGCCAACTAAATCTCAGTGGCGCAACAAAACTCGTGGAAAATTCACCTACGAACGATATAAAAAAATTCAATCTTCAAAAAAATTATCCATTTATTTCTATTTATTTTATATTTTCTCTCTTGAAATTGTTGAATAAAAATAAAAAAATAATTTAATATGGAACAAAAATCTGGGGTTTTCTGTTTGCAGAAGAATTTTGCAAGCTTAATTTTAGTAATTCTTTAAATAACAAAACGTTTTCCTTTATAATACTTTTTCTTATCAAATATCAAACGGAAGCTGTGCGGTGCTTGCTGATAATTCTCGACCGCAAAAAGTCCTTACTTTAAAACATTCGTCACTCCCATAACAGTAGCTTTAGTTTCTTCTGCACCACCGTTTGACTCAAAAGCCAAATCATGGACAGGGAGGAGAAGAAAAATGTCTATATTCACCTGACAATGGCGCTGTCCGTGGTCGAAATTGTGAGTGAAAAAACTTCATAATTTTCATCTCCAAAAATGGATTTCTCACTCTAATTATTTTTGAAAGTTAACACACTAGAGTTTATTCTTATTTTTCGTTATTAATTTATGATTTTTTGCAGGTTGCTTTGGTTTTTATGTATCAATTGGTAGGCATGGTGATCATCATTCTACTGGCAGAAAAACCCCAGGAAGTAGATTTTTGGGGTGTCACTCGCATCTCAGAGTGCCTCAGACCTAATTTTCGTAATGATAAAATAAATTCCAACTTCTTATGAAAAATTAAAATGTGTCTTAAAATTCCAGAGAACTTTTGTGACCAAGTTCCGATTATCTTCTACATGAACATGATCAGCGCAGTTGGAATTTCTACAAGTTTCCTGGCTTGGATTGGAGCCATCAAAGTATTTTATAATAAAAAATGGTTCATTTATATTTATTTTTTTATTTTTAACTCAGCAAAAAGGTTGGATGCTGTGGCCGAAGATAATCGAGTGTTGTGCGACGATTTCACTTTTCCTCTACGTGACGCTGAGTTCCAAAGGACGGATGGGAACTAATTGGGAACTGACCATTTTGATGACTGCCTTTTTCATTTCAATACTGCGTAAGTAGAAAATGTGAAAAAATTTAAATTTCCAATCAATTAATAATGAATAAATAAATCATCAGCTGAATTAAATTTTGTTATGTTTAGTTACACTTGTAATACGGATGCACATCTACGTGTCAACTTGCAAGTGCCTGAAGAAGGAGACAATTGTCGACGCAAATGACTACGATGCGCCTATCGAGGAGAAGAAATGCCAAATCTAAATAATTTGCTAGATCGATTTACATATATGACGATTTTTATGGACAAGACCGAGTTTTATTTTAAATTACTTGCTAAATTTTTAAAATTTGCGATGTTTTCAGAATTCTCAGATAATTAAGATCACGTTTTGAGCAAGGTTTTTTCAATAAATTACCAGATGCGTTTAACTTTGCATTCAATAATAAAATAATTTTACACCAATAATATAAAAATTATTTTCACACATTAAAACTTTTTATTGCAATTTTCTGTTATTGAAAGCCTATGAAGTCACTTTTTTCTGCAAAAGAACTGAAATAATGTTGAACTTCATAAAAAATTAAATAAATTGGAAAATTTTGAGAACTGTCGATCAATCTTAAATTGATACCCAAAATTATGTATTAAAAATACTTTTTATGACTTATAGTTGCTTAGAATGGTTCATTTTTAGAATAAATTATAAGAATTATTGTCAATTTTAAGCGCTCAAAATAAAAATTTAAATATTGTCTTTATATTTTTCTTTCTGATAATATTTCTCAATATTTCTACTCATCAATGTGAGCACAACTTCATTTACTTTATTGTAGTTTTAAGCCCAATTAATAATAATCAAACAATTTCCAATTTTAAACAATTCCTTGTTCTTTTGAAATTTCAATAGAAGCATTTCTCGCTTTTCATTTTCAACAAACAATTATTGGTGGTAATAAAATGGAACAATCAAATGCTTCGCTATCAACATATGTATTTTTTTTTACAGTTACAAGTTTTCTAAGAATTCAAATCTACAAAATTTTATTTTATCCTGTAGTTAGTTTAATTGAATAACTAAAGTATATTATTACACTCTTTGAAATGCGTTGATGAAATCTCATTAAGAAAATATGATTCTTGAAGAGACTTTTGTCTTTTCAGCTGATTTCAAACTTGATTTAATTACCCGGTCAACACCGTAAACCTCAGGGGCCCCCGGTCATTTTCTTTTTTCCGTCTCTTTTGCTAAGCGCCGGGAACAATTACCATAAATCGGCAATTAATGCGGGTCGATGGCGAACCTGCAGTGTTGCCTACTTAGGACCGAGTGCGTGGCTAATTTCTCGCATAAATTGCGATCTCTCTGGTGTGTGTCGCGTGTAATTAGCAATAAGTCTGGGGCGGTAAGAGGCGCTCATCAAATATTAAAAGAGCTCTCTCGACGACGCTCGGCCTTAACTCGCCTCTTTTGTAATTATAAAGCTGCTGGCAAAAGACACGGACGTGTCAGGCTTAGGCCGGCCGACGTCCAGCCTTTGTGTTCCTCCATTTGCAGTCACAATAATTATCATCACTTGAATACAGTGCGTTGTTTGACCAGGAGTTAAGAGCGCACTTTCTGCAGCGGCTAATCCGACGAGATCGTCGTCAAAAGAAAAGCCAGCCGCACTGTATAAATGGCACTGCACTGTTTTTTCTAATTATCAAAAGGGAGGAGTTTCACAAAAGGTGAAAAACCTGAGAATACTTTAAATAATCTTTAATTCCACAAGTTATTAAAATTTAATCATTTTACTTTCAAAAGCAAAATATTGTTGGAAGAATTTTCAAATAAAATAATAAATAAATTGTCATAATAAATATTTTCAATTAAATTGCAATTGAAAACTCCTGAGGATATTCCAATGGAAACGTAAATTGTAAAATAAAAACTCAATAATCTTATAATATTAGTTTTATAAACCATTCAAAAACGTCTTTAATTAACAAATAAGATCGCATTTGATGAAAAATGCTTCAAAATTTGAACAGAGAATTTAATAAAATTTAAAATTGCAGATCTCCTTGGTACATCTCGGGGCGCACTTTCTTTTCTCGCTCGAGGCGGAATAAATTAAAGTTGGTCGTCGGCCGACAGGAATTTCGCAGCTGCCACGAATATATCACTCAAGCGCGCGACAGCTCGCGTCCAAGCCGCGGAATAAAAGTGCAAGGAGGTGCCCTCTGGGCGACGCCATTCGTCATTTGCGGAGGCCACGCTCGCCCACTGACCCAATTAGCCGCATAAACAACGTCCTCTATCACATTAGAAAGGGCCGACAAGAGTGCCAAAAGTGCGTGAATTCTCATTCGTCTTAATTAGATTGTTCGTTCATCTCCGAATGAACCGGAAAAAAAGTACTCGACAATATCAAAGTTTCTTCTACATTTCATATCACAAAATAATTTGGAAAACTGAAAAATATTTCATTGAAAAATATTCTTAATTGAAATCATTTTTTGAATATGCAACTTATTTATTAATTTAATACATTTATTTCTAATTTATTTTTGATCTAGAGCCAGAAGAATACTTTTGAATTCTTCCATGATTTTTATAATTTCTCCATCACCGCCGCCTGTAATTTAAACACAGGACAGACTTGCTCTTGCTTCACTTCTGTCTTTTGTCAGTTGACGGCCCGATTTTAAATTTGCGGCGTGCCGAGGAGAAAACGAGATGAGACGCCGCGTGGAACAAAAGCAGGCGGTTCTGCCTCCGCCCCTGGAGAGTGATGGAATGAATGAATAAGAGGCATCCGGCGGGGTTGGAGGTGAAAGTTAATTAGCTGATTCCGCCGCAAGTCTGCAGCAAATCCAATCAGAACCCTCTTCAACAAGACGAGCCACCGACTGACTGCTGACTGACTGCTCTCCAGGATTTGTCCACCCTGCAAATTTAATTTCCACCCCGAGAAGAGAGAGCGAGAGAGACGCAGCACCACCGTCGAAAGCCAAAGGGGTTGGTCCGCATTGGGCCGAGCCAAGGCTAACTTTTGGTGAGGAAATTTCGTCACTCTTTCTAATTGAAATCAAATTTGTTCCATCACTAGAGAAATTTAAAAAAATTCCTAAGAAATAAATATATAACCAAGTTACCAAGGGTAAGATGAAAATTATTAATAAATTAAATAGTTATAAAAGTAATTGTTTATTTCTTCAATAATTATGAAAACTTGTAGATCAATTATAAAATAATTTTGATAAAAAACTTAATAATTTATTTTATAAATTGGCAAATACTTTTAATTCAATTTTTTTTTAAGGAACGAAGGATATTTATTTACAAAGGATGATTTTATTTAGGATTGTGTAGCAAATTAAAAAGTACTTTAAACCGGATCAGTTAGGCAACCGGCGTGACACGACTGCTACGCCTATTGCATACCTTTTCAAAATTCAGGCAACTGCTTTAAAGCTGCCTTTCTGTATGCGGAAAAAACAATTTAAGAAAGGTTTCTTCTGCCCGATTCGCAACAAAAAACCGCACAAAATGAATTTACCTTGCTTAATTTGGTTACAGAAGACACTGCAGTCAAGTCCGCGCTGCTAAATAATTCAAATCTCAATCAGGCAGCGCGCGGCGAATTATTAATTTAAAAAGGGTGACTCTGGGAGCACTCGAGATGAGAGAGAGAGAAAATTGAATGCATTCCGTCTGTAGGTGGCAAGCGAGCGAGCGAGCGAGTCTCTCTAATCAAAAAACAGCCCGGCCAGATCTCTCTCTGGTGCCAATTCAAAAGTCCCCTGAAAATGGATTTGCTGATTGAAAAATCATCTTTTACATCTGCGCGGCCCTCACGATAAGAGAGTTTGACGTGCGAGATAATGCCGCTTGATTAAATTAGTCCGATCGTGTGCCGAGGAGAAAAACGCGTACAAAAGCTCCGAGTGCAAATGGGTTTGTGAGCCAAGAAAGAAAGAGAAAGAAAGAAAGAAAGGATATCTCGTTTTTCCCAGCTGGATGGAAAGACACGGCTGCGTCTAATGAAACGAAGCAGTTGATGATTTCATTCTTAAGATTTCTTCCAAAAGCACAGGTGCGTTTAATAAATCAATTATGAAAAAAGAGCTTCAGAAAAATCCCAAATTATAAAAAAAACATTGAAAATTTGTGGATTTATAGATGAAGAATTGGTTTACTTTCGATTAAAAGAAGGTTAAAATTAATTTAATTTAGTCTGAAATTTCTCCATCAAGGAACAATCCTAAAGCTCAAGCTGAATTAAGTGGCAAAAATCTTATTTCAATAATTTAAATCTTAATTTTAAATTTTTATTTGATTAACTTCCTCAAAAAAAATTGGCAAAATTTTGAAACTATTTTAAACCATTTTATGTAATATTTTTTAAATTATTCTGCATTCAATGATGTCAAAGCTTATTAAATTTTTTTAAATTGCAAAATCTTTTTGCAGTTTTAAATTTATAATTATAATTGCATGCATTTTTGAGATCAGATTATATTAAGGGGTTTAAAATGTACAATTTTTTTTCTCCAAATATTTGAGAACTGAATTTTGATTCATTTCCATTATTTTGAATTTTTCCAAATTTAGATCTTATTTGAAATTTTACTCAGCCTGCGTTCTAATAATTAAAGAAAAACCAACAATTCAATTTTATTAAAATGAAATATTATTAATCGAAGAAAACAGGATAAAGTTATAATTAAATGGTCCGAAAATTCATCAATTTTTAGAGAGTGGCCAACTCAGGGGCGTTGATTTCAACGGAAAGGGCTGTTCGAAGTGAGCATAAATCCCGAATAATTCATATCGATTGCGCCGTTCTGTGTGTATGAATTACGGTGCGGGCGCTGAGAAGAAAGAGCCGGAATGATTTGTGTTTGATTCATGGAGAGACGTGCTGTTTTGTAAATTTATGGCGGTGCTTGCTTCGTTAACAATAGAAGTGATAAATAATAAAATTACAATACGAACATCAGTGAAATACGCGCCCCGCGCGTGTAATAATAAATTTATTATATATTTTTTTGTTTAAATATATTTGGTTTCACTGGCCGCCGGCTGACGAGGAGAGCGCGCTGTTGTTTTATGACCGACGCACTCTGTAATTAGTGGATCATAATTTTTCGGAGCAGGGGTTTGAAGCGTCCGTTCACTCACCTAATAAAGCCGAGCGCAGATAGATCATTCCCACTGATTTGTTCATTTATTTTTTATTGCCAATGCGCTGCTCATTCTCGCTCTGATGGGAAATTAGTTTCCGTCGCTGCTCGAAATTAAAATGCTTTCGACGCTGGGCAATTTTTATTGCTTTATTACGATTATGCTGCAATAATTTAATGACCTGCCTCGCCAAGATGATGCTCTTGAAAAAAGGGAATTCACGCCGGTGCCCTGTAATTTGCACTTTTAATGACGTGCTATGGCTTCATTTGTCATCACGTTTTAAATTTTGTAGCTTATAATAAATTGCTTGGAGAATTTGAGCGTTTTTATTCAAAACATTAATTATTTTGGTTAATTTGACAAAATTTAAAAATTGAATGGAATGTAAAATTCAAAGTTGGTATTGTTTAGAGGTATTTAAAGACTTCTTTAGGACATAATCAAATCAAATGCTTACAACAATAGCAGAAAATTCTATCAATAATTTGATAACCTTTTGCAAATTTAACCGCATCATCGCTGTAAAGGCTTGATTTGGAGTCCTTAATCAATAAATTTTAATTTCTTAGTATAAATTTCACCCATTTGTAATTATTGTATTTTTGATAGTATTTTTCAAATTTAAAACCATCAATTTAAATTTTAAATTCTATATATTAAATTTTAAAACTTTGTTTAAAAAATTTATAGCTTATTTTATTTAAACACTATTTAAAATAAAATTAATATTTCTTTTAAAAGTATTTATTGTATAAATATTTGTTTTAATTTATATATTAATAAATTTTTATTTTTATTAATAAATCATTAAATAATTATTTATTTTCTTTTAAAATCATCTTAAATTGAATCATAAATTATAATTAAATTATTTTATTTAATTCACTTTAACAAATAAATTAACGTCACATAGTGAAATAAAATCAGGCAGAAGAAATGGATCGTCAGCGAGAGGACACCAGCCAGAGCCAGACGAACTCGTCGAAGGCGAAACGACCAAGACGGGCGGTGGACAACAAGTTGGTCAGTGAAGGCATCAGCCGGGCTTTGGCTCGGATCGTGTACCAGAGCCAGGACATGGAGTTGCTGCACACGTGCTACCAAATGCTGGGTGTCACTTGCGCCAGGGAGGCGCAGCAGAAGATGCAGCAATTGCTGGATGAGATGATGGAAAAGGCCGACTCGGAAAAGGGTCGCGGCAAAGGCCAGCCAAACGCCCAGGCTGACGAGGATGACGCAGTGGAATAAAATTTGTAATATGTATCAAATAAAAATAAAACAGTAAAAAATTCAAAATATAAAAAATAAAATTTAAAAGAAAATCAAATAAAATATACCATAAAAAAAAGAATTAATTTTGATTTATCTTTTCTTACATAAAAAGGATACAATTTTTCTTTCTAAAATTTTATATATCGGCTTCTTGAATTAATTTTTTTAGTTTTAATGGAACTATTTTGCCATTTCTAATTATTCTTATAACGCAGTTATTCATTTTTGCAGTAAAAAATAAATCTTTCGGAGAACTTCCTATTGATGAGAAGGTTTAGAAACACAAAATGCTATATTTCCGCCGTTTTGTACTTCATTCAGAGCCACTTAAATCGAGAGAAGAACCTTCCTTTTTTATTTGAAGCTCTAAACAAAAGCAGCACGTCAAAGGGACAAGGAAAAAAGAGCACAAAGTGAAAGAGCGTTTTCCGCAGCGGAAAACAAGCAGGGAGGGCGCGCTGAGCACAATATCGGCGGGCGGCTCCTTTATTGAGTTAATTTCGTAACAATATCCGACTTTAATCTAGTGTAAGAATACACATGCGGCGCTCCGACCGAGAGCGCAGAGAAAGGAAGGAAAAGGGAAAAGGGAGCAAGCGCTTGTCACTATCTTCTCCCCGCTTCTACTTGACGACGACGACACAAGCTCGAATACAGACGGTGAAATTATGAAAATGAGACAAACACCACCCGAGTCGAAAAAGATTGGCCTTTCTGCGGCGGCCTCACGCAGACTGAAGCGCTTCACTCAAGCTGCGCCAAAGCTGCTCTCTCTCCTTTCTCTGTTTGTTCCGCATAGACACAAACTGACGATATTTTACATTGAAATTGTAAGATATTGCAGCTATTGTGCGCCTCCACAATAACCGGATATTTACGATTAAACCTGCTCGAAATTTTAAGTCACGTCAGCGCTCGGCAGGGAAAACACTTCCGAATTGCTGCCGCCACCTCCTCTGCCTCCGCAGCGAAAAGTTTTCGCCAAATAACAAAAGCTAGGAAAGTGGAGTAATAAATTTCACAGGCAGAGTTTTCGTCACAAGTTTTAGCAAAGGGAAAGAATTTTGGGAAATATATTTTATTTCAAAGGAAAATTGAATTTCCTTTTTAATCCTTGGCAAATTATTTTATGTTTGTACTGTTGCTGTTAAAATATGAATCAAAATTGAAATTTCTTTATTTTTCATGACAATTAAATTAGAAATAAACCATCTTCTTTTATCGATATAGTGTCATTGTAATTCTAACGCATTAAAAAAAAGAAGAGTTTATTTTTATGTGTGGCTTTTTAAGGATTTTCATTTTTGAATTAAATTAAGTTTAAAAACTATTCAAATATTTATGCTGTCTTTTTCTTAATTAAAAATTGCAATAAGGAGCTTTAAAAAATTATAATGGGTTAAAAGTAAATCTCAAAAGTTTTTCCAATTTTTTTTATACAAAAATTTGCAAACTGCAATAATGTGAGCCTTCAACAAGAGATTGGTTTGCCTAGGTTCAAGTCGGTGAGGATATACATATATGAAAGTTTTCTGCCTTTGTTTGCAAGCTGTATAAAATGCAAATGAGCATCGCATCCCGGAATTCCATAAATTTGGCACCTCTTCTCTTCCAACATAACAAACGACTCTGGCGTTTTTTTATTCAATCCGGACAGGAAAACTCATTTCGCCGGGTCTAAATATGGGGTCGGACTGAAAATCTGGCATAAATAAGGAGTATGAGCAGCACCCTGCTTGCCTTTTTTTATTGTGTTGCGCGCGGGTAACATGTGTGTGTGTGTGTGTGTGTGCAAGACCCTCTCTTTGAGACAATAAGAAAGAGCTTTTCATGTCCCATTGTATGAAGATTTTCTTTCCTCCGCCGCCGCGTCGACGACGAGACAGCAAAAAGAAGCAGCGCAAAAATGCAAATTAACATAAAATTTGAATTTGAGCTCATTCAAAAACGTGTTTAAATTGTTTTAATCCAGTCATAAATTTCAGCTGGAATTATCTCTAAAGCTCTTTCTCCAGCAGAGACAGAGAGACGCTGTCGCTCCGCCTCTTCGCTTACGTCTTTGAATGCGGTTTCGCCGTCAACTTTGAAATTCAGGGAACGCAATTATATTGATAAGTGGAAAGGGTTTTCGGAGGAAACGAAAAATAAAACACACGCAGAGTGATAACAAAAGTAATTAAAAGGTGGCGCATGTAGAAGAGACCACGTCAGTAAAAAGGCGGAAAAAACTGATAACTCGCTTCTGGTGACACGAATATTGTCCAGTCTGAAAAACAACAACATTCAAAATGCGGTCGTTCGTGTTCTGGACTTCTTTTTTAACCGCAGCTTTACTCATCTCAATCACTGGTAATTATAAATACAGAATTAATTAATTTTTTTATCAACATTCTCTTTTAACAGAGGCACAAATTAGGAGAGATGATGGAAACCCTTGGAATATGGTGAGGAAACTATTTTAATTACCGATATCAAGTAATTTCTGATTTGAAAATTGACAGAAAATCTCTCCGGACGACTTGCAAACGTTGTTAGATTCGGCCAGATCGCAAATGAAAGGCAAAGGAAAAATGGATAGAATTGAGATTGCCAAAGAGTTGCTGAAAAAGTACTCAGTGGATGAGGTCCAAGGGTTCCCAGATCCACCGACTGAAGAGGACGAGCAATATAGATTTGAGGATGAGGAATATAGAGACGAATTATAAGGAATTATTTCCAAATTTTTATGTATTACAAAAATGTTTCAATAAATATTAAACGAAGACGTGTATCTTATTTAAAATAATTAAAAACAGTAAATGCATAATAATATTATTATTAATTCAGAAAATTAGACACGGAATCTATATAAAAAAATGTCTTTCAAAATCTGCATCATATTTTCCTCTTTTAATGTTTGAATTTAATTTTTTTTACTTTCATATCTTTTTGAAAATTCTATAGATAATTATTAAAAAGGGGGCCACGTTTCTTCCCATGCGTGATATTGATAACAGGCACTTTAAGCGAGTTGTCTTCCTGATTGCCCCCGCAATTCTTTTATAGCGGCGCAGCATGAAGTTTCTCGTTTTCATCGCCTCCGTCGTCATTTTTGCGACTCTGCAAACAGGTTCGCCCATTTAGAGTTTTCCTCTTTGTAAATTAATAACAACTTGATTATGAAGAGGCCAAGCATTCTTTTGATGGGCAGTACCGAGTTTTCAAACTGGTAATTTGTGAAATTGAAGTGAAAATTTGTATGTAAAATAAATTAATTTTACAGCGTCACAACGACTTCTTGGCAAAACAAGCGAGCCAAGCCATTCGACCAATCCAAGAAAAGTGTAGCTTTTCCGGCAGAAACAGGAGCCATACTCGGGAAGCAATGCAAGTAAGATGCACCAACGACTTTTCGGAGGAAAACAGGAACAACTTGATCAGTTCTCCAAAGTGCAATACTTGGGAGGAACGTTCCACTAGGCGCATTTTAAAGAAGCAAAAGTCCTGCGTGTCCAAGCGGAAGTTCACCTACGCAAGGAAAACCAAGATGGCACTTATGCAGCTCATGCATATCTGATCGAAATCCTTTTTGTCCTTTGGAAATTGTCACGAATAAAAAAAAAACTGTGAGGAATAATTTTTTAAATATTCACAAAATTTAGTATTTAAAAAAAATAATAATAAATTTCATTTATTGGCAAATTAATATCATTTCAATTAATTTTTTTACAGTTTGATTGTACTTTTAAAAGTCAAATTTGAAAAAGTAAAAATATTACTTTGAAAAATTAAAATTTTTGAATATCACAAAAGTTGAATAGATAACTCGTGATTCATGATCTTCTCCTCGAGTGTCAATTTCTTCAAACTTTTTTAACTGCTTTTATAAAAAATTTCAACGAATTGCGATTCTTTGTTCCTGATGAGAAACTTTTTTATCTCAATTGCAAAAAAAGAAACCCACAGTTTCAATTCAATTCTTTTTATTGTTCAATTATTTGTGGTTAAAAATGTACAATAATTGAAGCAACGGGCAATTGGCTGAAATGAGGCCACGTCAGTTAAAAAGAACTCTTAGTTGATAAAAGTTAATTTTCCACCAACAAAAAAGAGACCTGCTTACAAACTTCACAACTCATCAAAAGCGTTTCTCCAAATTTTGTATGATTCCGTCAGAAAAAAATAATGCCAAAATTGATTTTTTTTTCTGCTCTTCATATTTAAAGATCGCAAAAATTTCCCTTTCCAGTGGCTTTTATAATCGATTCCGAGTGCACAGCCTCCGGAGCCTGGACAAATGAAATGCAGGGGCCTCTGAAAATATTATGTCAGCAGCAAGTGGCGGTTTGTCAGTCGTCAGTCTATTATTCGGACAGGCTGACACGGCGCAGAGGTTGTGACGAGTGACTTAGGAGATATGTCTGCCTGCGCTGTAAACAATGAGCGCCACTTTATGCTTCCGATATTCCCAGATGACCCCCCATTCATTACAAGATAGATCAAAACACACGGAATAATTTATTCCCACACACAGCAGAGGCTGACACGAGATTGGCCAGGAGAATTTTTTCCATCGGAAAAAGATCAGATGAAACAAAAAACTGATTGAAATTTCATATAAAATTGGTTAATTAGGTCGTTTTAATTGAAAGACTAATGTAATTTCAAGAAACACATTAATTAGAAAATCCCGTAAAACTATGTTAATTTATAAAAATTAATTTCTTTTCATTTTTTAAATTTTTCCCATATTTGTTTGAAAATGACATGTTCAAACCATTGTAATTGTATAAACACTTTTTTGGCCTTTTTTTAGTTGAATAACAAATATGAAAAATAATTAATTATGAAACTTACAAATGAAGTAACTATTTATTTTAATTTTACAAAGAAACGTAAATGAAGCAACTTTGATTGATTAATAAAAAATTAATACTTATAAATTTGATTTATCAGTTTTACTGAAATAAAATCTTAATTGAATTTCTTTGCAGATGAAAGTTTTCGAGCAGATTTGAACAGCTTTGACTTTTGTTCTTGTGCGCTTAAATGAACCTTGAGAATAATTTGACAGGCACAATAAGTACAGAGCGTACAGCGAGAGTGCGGACCGAGACGACAGGGGCATCAATAACGGCGACAGGGCGCTGCGACCTGACAAATGGTTGTGTCAAACGTGATGGGCCCTCGTCGGCCGTCTGTCTCGAGCAGGGTAGGTGACTTTTTGCACGTGCCCTCTCTGCAGTGCAAAACCGCACAAGAGTGGGATTGCGCGGCTCACCCACGCTGATTGCAAATCGAATCGCTCCAAAAAGCTTTTATTCGCCTTTCAAATAAACTTTTGATGCCGAGCAAAAGACAAATTCAGGCTTTAATCAATAAATTTTTAGAGCAAATAGGACAGCGTTCCTTTGCTTTTGTAGTAGAATTGTCAAATTTTAAATTAAAACTTGTTCTGTGTAAAAATATATAAATTTTATAAAAAAAACTGAGATTCGAGTTAAATTGAAATAATCAAATAATGAAAATAAATTGATGAATGAAGATTGGCGAAAAAAATCTTTTGAATTTTATTCTGACAATGGATCTTTCTAAATTATTGTTGCAATTAAAAAAAAATTTGACTCTCCACTAAAAGTAGAATATTTTTTACTATTTTGAAACTAACTCATGTATTTCTTGACTATTCTGAGCCTTTTCAAAGTCTTTTTACTATACTATTTTTTCTTTGAACTAAAATTTTTACTGATTTAGTACAAATTTCATTGAAAACTTCATATATTATGAATATTAGCATTTTAAAATTGATTTAAAATAAGTATAAACTAATATAAAAATCCCATATTTAAAAAAAAAATGTTTTGCATCAATGTGCTTTAAATCACTCCCTTCCAAAGCTGTCTCCGTCGGGATGCAAATAAAGTGCACGTCTCGCTTTCAAGCCCGTGACCTAAACTGTTGGTCATTCCTCTTTGCTGTCACGCACACTTATATCGTCTCCAAGAGTGACTTTTTGAATTTTAATCTGACACCTCCTCGAGAGGAAAACATAATAAATTTCAAACGAAAATACAGCAGTGGACGCGGGGGCAGCGACGACGGTAATGAGAGACGAAGTGATCAGCCGATATTGACAAGTAAAGATTGAGGTGAGAGAGGTCAAATTAATCTGCTGTCAATTAAAGTTATCAGCGGCGGCGCGTTCGTCGGTGCGACATCCCCATCAAGACGGGGCGGCCAACCCCTGCGGCTGATCCTAATTGGAGTCCACGCTTGATTGAGGAGAACAATAATTATGTAGGAAATTTCCTCAAAGTATAAAAGGAAAGACGAAACTTTTTTGTGAGTAAAAGAAATTGGTTTAAATTGAATTAAATTAAAGTTATTTTTTAAATTTGATTTAATATTTATTTTAATGCAACCAGAACAAGGGAAAAATAATAAATCAATTTTTTTTTTAATGAGGATGAGCTTAAGATATCCAGACTGTAAATACAAATTTTATTTTTTTGGGTATTTGTTGTTGAATTTTTTCAATATTTTTCGTATTTTTTTCACCTTTCTTAATAAAACTCTGATAAAGATTAATTAATGAATTTTTCTCTCCAAAGTGGAATAATAATTTCCAGAGCACACCAGGCAACACCCTCTGAATAAATCAATAGAAGGCGGCGAACCGCCCAAACTTGGGGCAGACCACCTAGATTTCATCACGTGTCCAGGATGTCTCCATTAATTCAAAATTTGTGTTTCGGAGAGAAAAATTTATAGGTCTTTTGTCTTTTGTTTTGCCTGAAAAAAATTTAAAAAAATTAACGCCCTCAATCCAAGTGGAAATTTTCGGATTAATTCCTGAGAGTTGATATTTTTATTTGCAGGCGAGTGGGAGCACGTTTCAGGTATGCGAGCCATTCATCAGTCGTCATGTACTTTTGTTATTTGCAACCATTAAAATCAGCGCACCCGAGATAAATCTGCGGCGTCGTGTTTGGGCGGCAAACTTTTAATGCTCTCATCATTTCGTTCCGTTGACCTTTCCAACATACTTATATTTCTTTGTTTGCGCACTCACACCTCGGCCATTAATAATTTCCAACCGACATTAACACGATTAGCTCACTTGATTTGTTGGACGCCGGCGAGAAATCGCTCGTGTAAATCCAACCGTTCCGTTTTAATTCAACTTCGTTAATTGCTCCAATGAAATATAAATTTGTTTCAATTTGATCTCGCTTGATAAGCAATTAAATTCGGCACAAAATTTTATTCTAATTGCAATGAAAACTGCATACGAAACTTTTTAACATAAAAACTATCAAAAAAAAACGAACATTTTAATTGAAAGGCAAATCTTTAACTGGTTTTAAAATGTATTTCTGTGGTTTTTTTTTAAACAACCTGTCTCTTGGTTTTTTTAATATTGGGGGTGAAATGAACAATAATTTTAATCGGACCAAATTTGAGAGAATAATCTTCTTATAAAATTCCCATCGCAATGTCAACCTCAAAAATCAGTTCTCCCAATGAATTCAATTTTAATTATTATATCTTTTTCAAAATTACATCTTAAAAACCAATTGTAATGAAGAAAATATTATGAAAAGAAAATGAATAAAATTTGAGAGGCTTTTAATTTAATATAAATTGCGGAACCTTTTTTTATTGAATTAATTCTAGCATTTCAAATCTTAGGTTTCTTTAAACAAGTTACCTTTGTGAATATATTTATTTCAAATATTTTTATTTCTTAAACTTTTTACTAACAAACCAACTGGTGAAAAGCCTACTCAAAATTCTCTACTAATCTGAAATGGTTTATTGAAAAGTCAATTAATCTTGAGCGTGTTTTCAATTTTCCTCCTGAGTTGGGGATTAAAATAATTGCGCGTTTCTAGTCGGACAGAAGCCGTAACCATCAATCAAACGTCCTGAGAATATCAATTAGCGTGAATGGGAAACCGTTATTGCGCAGCAACACAATTTGCATCAAAGAAACACCTTCCTTAAGCCTTGTCAATTGCAAGCAACGTCGGTTCTAAGTTTTCATTCTCTCATAAATGCGTCGCGGAGCATAAAATTATTATTGCCATTTGTGATACCATTTGCATCGGCGCGATAAAAATCTAGCCATCACTCATTCGGACCGACGACTGCGGAAATTTATGCACGCGCTTTTCGCTCTCTCAAGAAGAAAGAAAGGATTGCGGAGCTCTTTTTAATTTATGTGAGGCTCACAAATGAAGGTTTTCCACTCTTTTATTATTTGATGTGATATATGAAGTAGCCGCCGTGCAGCAACCGGCACCAAAGAGATGCAAACCCACTGCTCAAGTCCAGCTAAAGAGCCGCGCAGGTTGCAGATAATTCATTGGTGCAGAGAAAACGCACTCAACAATGTCGTCGAAGGTGACGTTAATGATGTTTCAATAAATACATAAATAACTCTTTGACTTGAGAAAATTTATAATGAAGGATATGGAAATTAAATATAAATTAATATTGGCATTAAAACACAGAATTGATTTCATTATTGCATAGAATTAATGTAAATTGTCAATACAATGAAAGTTAAATTTA